GAGTCTCCTGCCTCAGCCTCCCAAGTAGCTGGGACCACAGGTGCCCGCCACAACACCCGGCTATTTTTTGGTTGCAGCCATCATTGTTGTTTGGCAGGCCCAGCCTGGATTTGAACCCACCACCTTAGGTGTATGTGGCTGGCGCCTTAGCCACTTGAGCCACAGGTACCAAGCCCTGGTACTCTCTTGAAGTCATTCCCCAAATATCTCACACCCTATTTCTACCCCAAGCTTTATACCTGTGGACTAAGAAATACACATTTGGCATTAGACCCTAATGTTTTGTGACATACAACTTTTTAAATCCTTAGAATTCTTAGTGATGTCCTTTTGTATGCCAATGAGTTGACTGATCCCTGACAACCTCTAGGTAGCTTCAGAGTGGGACTGGTCAACAGGTAGACCCAGGCAGGATTACAGAATTGGAACTGTCAGCCCCATCCCCAGCCTCCAGGGAGGGGAGAAAAGGGCTGAAGGTTAAACTGATCAGCAATGGCCAGTGTTTTAGTCTATCATTCCTACCTCATGAAGCCTCCATAAACCAAAAGAACGGGGTTTAGAGAACTCTCAAACATGTGAACGTTCTTAGAGGGTGGTGTGACCTTCCCACATGCCTTGCCCTATACTTCCCTTCATCTGTATCCTATGTAATATTCGTCATGATAAACCAGTAAACATGTTTCCCTGAATTCTGTGAGCCACTCTAGCAAATTAATAGAACTCAAAGAGGGGTTGTGGAAACCCCAACCGAAGTGAGTCAGTCAGAAGTCCCAGAGGCCTGGACTTAGCCCTTAGAGGTGAGGACAGAGCCTCAACCTGTGGGACCTCCAGGTACACAGTATCAGAACTGCACCAGGGGCAACCCACCCCACTGGTGTCTGCTGCAGAAGTGACTGCTGCTTGGTGGGTGGGGAAAGCCCACACACTTTTGGTCACTGAATCATTCTGTGTTGATTGTGTCCTCGGGTGAGAGAATAGGAAAAAATGCATTGAGTGGGTTTTTTTCACTCATAAACATGAAAATTTCAACTGCTTGCCAGACATCGCAGATGTCTCATACACAAACCCTAGCAAATCCTTCATCATCTTTCTCTGATCTGCTCCTCCTGAACCATCTCCATCACACAGGTAAGAGAACACCATTGTCTACATACTAGGTATGGAAAATGTTGAAAAACACACAAGCATCCCATGATGTGGAAAATTATAAACTAAACTGATCAGTGGGATTAGATGCATGCAATCTGTGAATTAATAGGTTAAGTAATTAACACTGTAATCACCATGGTGAATGATCCCATTTTCTAATAATGCTTGTCCCAAGTGAACACCTTCCTCAGGCCTGTGAATCTCTCCAATTTCCAACAGCCATGACACAAATTCACTGCAACAGAAAGCCAATGAAAAAGTTAAACGGTGAATCCTTTCCCCAGGCAGTCTATCTGTACCAATGCATCGTGAAGCAACTGGGAAAGGAATCTCAAAATGAAAAAAAAAAAACCTGCAATACATTTCAGCAGATATTATTTTCACTTCTGTTAGGCTCACAGACATTTAAATTGGACTGTATTCTAGAAAACCCATGTCTATACATTTAGACTTTCCTAAACTATACTTAGTTTTAAACTACTCAATTTGTCGAGGCCTCTAATAAATACAAAATAAAAATTTGAGAGTAGCTTTAATTATAAGGCTATCTACAGAAAGACAAATTTATGATTAAAGGAAATGCAACACACCCTATAAAGAACTAAAAGTCAAAACCAGAAAGAGTAATGACGGCTAAATACAAAGAGCTAAACTGTCTTTAACGCAGCTTCCCAGGCACAGAGAAGCAATGGATTTAAAAATTCAGGAAAGAAAAGCAAAACAGAACTGCACGTCCCATGTAGTAGGCAGAACTCCAGAGAAATCTCTCAGCCCTCCGACCCCCACTGAGATTCCCATCCCTTGGCTTTTCAATTAAATACTCATCAAGGTACTGCATATATAATTAAAACCCCAAGTCACTTGACTTAAAAGTAGAAATTATCCTAGTGGGCCTGACCCAATCAGTTGATCCCTTTGAAGCAGAGTTTTCTCAGACTGGTGGCATGAGAAGAAGTCACGGAAATTAAAAGCATGCAAGAGATTCAATGCGCCTCTGCTAGATCTGAGGACGGAGCCTGCAGAAGCTGAGAGCAACCCTTGGCTTACAGTCAGCAAGGAAACAGGGACCTCATTCTTGCAACCGTGGAACTAAATTCAGCCAGCAGCATGAATGAGCCTGTAAGAGAACTTTTCTCCAGAGTCTCAAGATATGAGCCCAGTCTGGCCAACACCTTAACTGTGGCATTGTGAGACCCTCAGCAGAGAATCCTGTTGCCTTTGTGTGGACTTTTCTAACTGTGAGCTAAAGAATGGGTGTTGTTTTAAGCAGCCAAGTATGTATTATGCAGCAATAGAAAATTAATACACCAAAAGACACAGAAAAGTTTCACTGCATTGTTATAGAGCTTTGAAATTACTTGGGAAATCCATTATTGATGTAAACTGTCATCCCTAAGGACTACTCCAGCGCACAGTCATCCATCAGAACTGTCTACGCACACATGTGCTGTTGCTGTGAAGGTCACAGATCACAGCTCACGTCCTTCACCACTGCAGGGCAGCCCCAGGCGTCACAGATAATAAGGATGATGTTCCCTATCACTTAAGAGAGCCTCAGCTATGTTGTGATTTTTTTTTAAATGGTCATGGGGTATCCTGACGAGGACACTAAAGACAGAAATCTTTTACAAAGTGCTATTGTGCTCATGTTTTAAAAATCTAACATTTGAACTTTTACATAAACAAATGAATTTATTTTAGACCGATTTGGGTTTTTTGGCCAGAGAAACAAGGCTATGGAAAACATCAGGAAATCATTTTTCCATTTATTTCAAAACCAAAAGCAACAAAAATGGCAAATTTCACATCATCAAGGGATATAAAATGCTAAAAGTTGATTGCCTAGCCTGAAAAATGTACTTTTAGGCAGAAAAAGTTACTAACATATGTTTTATTCTTTTAGTAAATAAGAACCATCCAAAAGAAAGAAAATAAGAAAAGATGAAGGTAAGTAGAGCCACCGTTTCTGCGTCTTTCACAAGTATAAAGGTACTCCACTCCTGTGTATTCAGGTGTTACAAACCACGTGTGTACAGAAGCCGTCTGAAGGCGGCTAGCCTTCCTTTTGGCCCTGCACTCCATAAACCAGACAGGGAATCCCACTTCACCAGGTCCGCAGATACCAAACAATAAATCAGCAATCTGCCCCCTGCTGAAAGCTGGAGTGGCCTCCCTGCCCGGCGCTCCGTCCTGCCTGGTTTTCCAGGCTTGCCGTGATGGCCTGCTTTTTCAGACTCTGTATCCATACATCTCATCCTGAGCCCAGCTAAGTTGTGAATTAGCTGGTCATTCAGATCATGCTGCCCTCAGCTTGCTCATCTTCCCTAACTTTCAGGCCCTGTACCCATGTCCATGCCAACCTAGTCATCCTGTCCAAGACAGACAAACCCACCAGCCGCTCCCTGCCTGGCCCCAATCTCTGCTCTGTCCTGGGATCATGACATAGCAGAAACTGTGGAAATCACACGAATGGAGGGATGGGCACCAAAAATTAGCAGAGGCCAAGAATTCTCCCAGACTGAGCTTCACTGGAGCTTGTGCAAAAGCACAGAGGAGGCTGCTCCACCACCTCCCTAAGAGCAGAACTTTGTGGTGTTTTTAGGAGGGAAACATGAATAACTCATGGGGTAAGTGAGCGTCCTTCAAGAACAGGTGGACCTAAGGTGTGCAGGCACAGTAAGAAATCCCAGTAAATGCTTCCCACAATTAACAAAGAGTGGATAAGTCCTGCCTGGGGAGGGGAGATTGGAGGTCTAAGGAGGAAAAGGGTCATGACAGGTCATTCTGGTATTGTGTGCGTGTGGATGCCAGGGGCGCCTGCCCTGGGTAAGGTTTTTGGTGAAATGTTTATCTTAGCTTCTATAGATAGCCCAGGTGGGTGATGCAAAGTTTTGTGTTAGCAAGAAGGGGAGAGGAGGATGTGTCAGAGGGGCTGGGGCAGGGTTCTGCCCCTACTCTATCTCAGATGGATGCCTCAAGTTTCCTGGTCGCGATCCCGGCTCTCATCCCGCTGTGGCCCAGGAAATGTCCATTGTGAACAAGTATTCAAAAATACATAGGGGAATATTTTTATAGTTAAAACAAATAATTAAAGGGAAGTAAACACAAGAGATAGAAAAACACAGACACGCATATCCCCACACCATCAACCCTACCTGCCAAGGAAGCATTTAGGGAACGTTGTCAGTTTTCTTTTTCTGTCTTTGATCAGATTTCCTTGCTTGCACATCATTTTATAAAGTTTTTCACCTTGTTCAGAGATCATTACCCAGGTGTCTTGCTCCATTCCTAATTTTAAGCCTATGAAACATGAGAGGAAGGACAGGTAAGTGAAAAATTGTCATCTTTTACATGTCTATGCCTTCACTAAACAAGCATTTATTACATGTCTACCAAGTGCTATGTGGTGGCTAGAGAGCTCTGTAAGGCAGGGCTCTGGTTTTCAAGATCAGGGAGACCACTAAGGCAAGGTCCTTGAGGCAGATGAAACCTCTGTACAAACTGTGCCCCAAAGGCATAATGGTTCATCCAGTGGAGTAAGGTCCCAGTTTCCATGGACCCCTGGGCCAGGCACCTTTGTGCAAGGATATGTCCCCAGAACTGGACAGAGAAGCCCTGAGAGAGCCCTGGGGGAAAGCTTTGAAACAATAAAGTTATATTCAGGGTACCTGACGCTGCCCTGAGAAAAGTTGAGAATGTTTTCACAGAAGGGCCATGGGACCGGGCATGGTGGCTCACACCTATAATCCCAGCACTCCGGGAGGCTGAGGCAGGTAGATCCCTGAGCTCAGGAGTTCAAGACCAGCCTGAACAAGAGGGAGAACCTGTTTCTACTACAAATAGAAAAATTAGCCAGGCGTTGTGACGGGCACCTGTAGTCCCAGCTACTAGGGAGGGTGAGGCAGGAGCATTGCTTGAGCCTAAGAGTTTGAGGTTGCTGTGAGCTATGACACCAGGACACTCTACCCAGGGTGGCAGAGTGAGATTGTCTGAAAAAAGAAATAAAACAAGGACCATGTCTTAAATGTCCAACTACAAATAGATATTTTTAGAGAAAGGGTATTTACAAGGGCTAACTAACTAGTTTGAAGCAAGACAGAGGCCTGGGGCCCTGGGTTCTAGGTGAGAAGACAGAAGTGCTGGGCAGTTAGGCAGCGTCCAGACTCAACCTGCAGTTTTAACTTACTTCATTCCTTAGGTATCAGGAAACATCTAAGTGTTTGTGCAAAGGCAAGTTGTGTTGCTTTAGAAACAAAACTCAGAGGACAACAAACTGAAGGAGGAAAGGTTTGAAAAAGAGACCATCAGAAGAAAAATGCAAAAGTTCAACAGAGTTCTGGACCATGCAGACAAGAGTAGAGGCTACAGGGCAAGCAGAGGAAGTTGAAAATAGCTGGGAGGTTTTATTGATAGAACTCGCAACTGGTGAAAGCCACATGAAGGACAGAGGGAGGGGAGGCTTCTAGGCAAAGGTGCCCAGTAACCAAGAGCCCAGCTGGTGCGGTATGTGGACATTCAGGCGAGCACCTGCAGTCTAGTCAAGTGCATGGGTGTGCAGCTCGGGGTAGAGGACATAACAACTGAGAAATTGGCGACGTAGATACAAGGAGAAGCTAATCTGGTGGGAAGAGATAACTCAGGCTAACAATCTAGTTAGAGATCTACTGCTCCGAGCTGAAATCCTGGAAACACAGGCTTTTCATCAGGACTGACAAGGAACTGCCGCAGAGGAAGAACAAATACTTGAGCTACTTTTAGTGTCTAAAATTTTATTTTTTACAATGCAAGGGCCATTAACATTTGTCCATAACAGTGAGTAATCCCTTAAGAATAAAGCTTGATAAAGATAAATATCATAAACTGCCTTATAAAATGGACTTTTCTCTCTAGTTTGGGGAATATTTTTACATTTTTTTTTCATTTATTTACTTTTTTTATTTTGCTTTCAGATTTTTGTCTTGGGTGGGTCAAGTTCAGGCTTGTAATCCTAGAACTACGGGAGGCTGAGGTGGGAGGATTGCTTGAGCTCAGGAGTTTGCGATCATCCTGAGCAAAAGTAAGACTCTGCCTCTACCAAAAATAGCAAAAATTAGCTGGGTGCGGTGGCTTGTGCCTGTAGTGGAGACTAAGGCAAGTAGAGTACCGAGCCCAGGAGTCTGAGGCCGCACTGAGCTATGATGATGTCACTGCACTCTAGCCCGGGTGACAGAGAAAGCCTGTCTCAAAAAAATGAAAACAAAAACAAATAAACAAAAATACCACATTTTCAACTTGATGAAAAATTTGATCCACCTTTTAAATTATTTGCTTTGCTATTTTGAATTGATTACTACATTCAACAAAATGGAAGGAGTCGGTTATGTATTTATATCTTTTGTTTTAAAAATTTCTAGCTGCTCTGTATCTAAGATCAATGAAGGCGTATTTGGAAATTCTAATACAAATGTAGGTTATGAATATTTTAACCAAGGTGGAAACTGTATATTCTTTAGGGAAGAAACATCTGAAGAGAGAAGAAAGGGTTCTTTGTGTTCCAAAATTTCACTACCAATGAGGTGTTTCATTCCTAGATCTCTGGGGGAAAAAAATAAATATCATGCTTCTTAATAAAAAAAAATCAATTTGTAAAGTAATTACTAGAAATATAAGCATTTTTATTTCCAAGATGAATTACAGAAGCATGCCTTGTTGAAGAAACAGTTCACACAACTGAATATTGCCAGACCAAATACCCAATTTTTTCCAAAAGCATAAAGTAAATTTGACCTAGCCTTCCTCATGGGAACAAGAAATGAATTGGGTTATGTTATACTATATTCAATGCCTAACAATTTTGAAAAGTTCACTCTATATCCAAATGCATTAATCTTAGTTAGAAAACTAACATGTGGGTCTAGGAATTTTCAGCGTGCTATTAAATATTCAGAGAGCAAGTAGAGGCCCTAGCGTTATATTATTGATGTTTACCTCTGAAAGAAAAGCTTGATAATGCTGCTTTAGAAATGGCAAGAATAAAGGTCAAAGAAAAGTGAACAAACTTGAAAGCCAATGAAACTGTTTAAAAGACATGGCCAATCACAATACAAGTTATTTTGCTAACTATAGAAGGTGTTTCTTTTATTTTAGTTGACAATATTACAAGCATTCAAACAACACTTTAGTACAAGGCTCACATCACACAGTGTATCAAAGTGAACACCCCTCCTCTCTCCACGCTCTTGTTAACTTTTTCCCATTATCTGCTCTCGCGCTAAGTTCCAATCTTTGCAAAGAATGACAATGCCCGATGCATACACCCACCTTTCCGCCGCTCTCTTTCTTTCAAAATAGCTTCAAACCATTCATGCTTCTCTTCGGGTGTTTTTGCCATACAAACAAACCATTTATTTTTTGCTGTATTGTGTATTTTCCATCCATTAACAACAATGTGTCCGCTGCTATGGAAATCGGCTGGAAATTAATGGGTAAAGGCAAATGAACAAAGCATAATATACAGTATTATATAACATGAGCATTTAATTCACGGTAGTTCCAAAACCACTGAATTATTCCAAAGACCTTTGCTTTATAAATGTATCTGGAAACACATAAAAATTTTTTAAATGCGTATATATTGGATACAGTCAGTGCCCAATAATGGAACGTTTCTAACTCACAACATTAATATGTTCCATGAAATTAAACACCACAAACTAATTGACACTCATTTGCTCTATGCCCAAAAATATTGTCAACATTTCTAAAGCAATACAATCATACTATTCAAGGAATTTTCCTCTCAATCATCAAACATTTAAAGAGTCTGATTCATTTTGTTTTTCTGATATTCCTTCAAATAGTATTCTAGGTTTCAGAGACCATTTATACCCCACAGAAATTCTCTATCACTTAATGAGCTGCACAGTAAGAATGAGAGAAGTCAGTGGAAAACGCTCAGAATACGTTTATCTAAGCTGCAGCGAATGGACGCATACAAACTCTAAACCATTCTCATCGCACAGGGTTGAAACATGAACTCTTTAACACACTTCAGTCCATAAAAGTCACATGAAGAGGAACTCATACAGATTTTTCTTTAAGGATGAACTGGCATTTAATGGTCTTCTACAGTACTTCACTGCCATTTTGGCTAACAAGTCATGCTAGGTTTGAATGTCAATAGCAAACCGTGTACAGCTACTCTGCTCCTAACAGCAGGTAGAGAACAGGGACATAACTTGTACGTGACCTTTCCTGGCATGACAGTCTCTGCAAAAGCAAAGATTCCACGATGGAAAAACGTGTGACAGAACCCTACACCAGCCTCTGCACCAATGAAAGTGGCTCTTCCCACCTGTCAGCCCTGTGAGACATTAGCAATAGCGGCCCGTATACAGAAGGTAAACTGTTAAAGTTAAAAGTGGTTTAAAGAATGCCTTTGTGTGTGTGGGTGGGGTGGGGGGGGTGGCTCACGCCATAATCCTAGCACTCTGGGAGGCCGAGGAGGGTGGATTGCTTGAGCTCACAGTTCGAGACCAGCCTGAGCAAGAGTGAGAATGTCTCTACTAAAAATAAAAAAAAAACAGGCAAAAGGATCACTTGAGCCCAAGAGAGCAATAGCTCGAGACTCTGTCTCAAAAAAAAAAAAAAAAAAAGCCTTTGTGGTGCTTTATCTGTTTATTTTTTCTCAAGTGATTGATTTTATTTAGTAAGTTTTAAGTAGAAACAGACATGCCTCACACTCATTCACCCATAATCTGGTTCCCAAAGTCCTTCTCATTAGCTCCAGAATAACCACACAGTAACATTATCTACGGTCAAATGAATAATCCTTAAAATGCATTATCAAATGATAGGTGTAGATGTGGGGTCTTAAAAACTTCCAGGTTATATCTGAGTCACAATAGAATTATATGAGACATTAGTGTGTGCTTTATAAATGTGCCAAAATCCCAAGAATAGTCAATAACGATTTCTGAAAAAACAGAGATTCAAATTGGCAGAGCATGTTTTTCCCCCATAAAGAAATTACAATCCACTCTTTAAAGGAATTTTTGTACTTTTCTTAATGTTATGTATCTGATATATGTTCACATCCTATACAAAGTAGTAGAATCTCATTAAGTCTTACGAGATAGGTATTTAATGGGCATTAGTAAGAGAATAAAAAGTATTACTTCATAGTTACACTGTAATCTTTCCTTAATATCTATTAAAATAACCAACTGAGAAATTATGATAAACTAGCGGAAAAAAAATTCAAATTGTACAAGTTTACAACCCTCCCTCCTCCTCCCAACTTGTCACCTTACAGACCAGTATCACAAACAATCACTAGCTTTTCAGACTGTCTTCTCTCTGCCCAAGTCAGACCCTGATCAGCAGAGCAGACCCCACATTCCCACTGGGGTTATCACCCCTTTAACCATGATTCTAGATAAAGAAAACCACAGTAGCCACATGCAGCCTAGAGTCATAAACCTTGTGCTTACTTTAAAATGAACACAATGTGTTTCTCCCACAGAGCACAAGGGGGCACAAAATCACCAGGGTGATGGTCCTGACAGGAGAGAGTCCCCAGGGAACCTGGGTCTTACTGGATTTCTTGGTTATAACCCTCTTCACACCCCGCCGGCTGTTCTTAAAATATTTCATCAGGCCACTGCCTAGCTCAAAAGTCTTTGGCATCACATTACTGAAGCAAGTCAGAACACACAGACTTTGCTTTAAAGACTAGTCTTGAACTGACTGTAGCCAACCAATGCCATTTTCCACTATTTCTAATGTGGTCTCACCATTCTGCCCGCCTACTGTTCTCCTGGTTGGCCTATGAATAACTTATCAAGCTACTTCACCCTCCTCTCTGTCTCATGGGCTTTTACTCCTCTTTGAAATGCACCCAACTACTCCATAAAGCTTTGCCTGACTACTCCAGCCCGGCATTCAAACTCCCTTTGGAAATCACACAGTGAGACACAGAACCAGACAAATGACCATGTGATTGAGTGCCTGTGGCTACTATTTCAATGCACAGAAACCAAGATCAGTAGCTGACTGTAAAATCTAATATCTCATGTAACAGGTAATTGCTACCTTAATACAATATTTTGAAAGAAAATCTTGTATCAGATGATAATTTTAAATGAAGAAATAATATTCCTTTTTAAAGTTTATATGCTAATTTCAAATCATAAATACACATACATATGTATATATGTATGTAACTAACTATATATGCATACAAAAGGCCTCAAAATGTAGTATGCATACTCATAATGATATCATAATTACCAACTGTTATACACAGTAAGCAATGGCTTCTCATTTATTTCAAAACATAGTGATATATAAACAGGTTCATAATTTTAACCATAGCACAGGGTTCAATATCTTCATTCTTCAAAATAAGAATTAAACTTCTTCATAAAGAATACCCCCAGTAACATCATGGAAAAGTCCAACAATTGTTTTGTACTTTGTAGGAATTTTTATTTTTTATTTTTTTTTAAGACAGAGTCTCAAGCTGTCACCCTGGGTAGAATGCTGTGGTATCATAGCTCACAGCAGCCCCCAACTCGGGCTCAAGCGATCCTCTTGCCTCAGTTTTTCTGTTTTTAGTAGAGTTGAGGTCTCACTTTTGTTCAGGCTGGTCTAGAACTCGTGAGCTCAAACAATCCACCTGCCTTGGCCTCCAGAGTGCTAGGATTACAGGCATGGGCCACTGCACCTGGCCTCATAGGAATTTTTTTTTAATTTTAACAAGAGAATAAAGAATTTATTAAATGGCAAACACAAGGATTATAACTTTCAGTGGATGTAAAACATTAATTTTATAGAAAGAATGAAATTAATATTGCCATTCATTAAATATGGAATATACAGACTTAACAGTTTCTAGTCACTGATCTCTTCAAAAAATAGAAAATCCAGGAGCAGACCTGAACAAGTGACTAATGACTCAGAGCTATACTCACTGCACTTCCTTCCTCTTAACTCAGCAGTTTCATATAATGAGATGAGGTTTTTCCAAAACCCATACTCTATAAATCTCAGTGGACAAGCTAGTATCCTTTAAATTTGCATTTCAATAAGGTGGACCATATCCAAGTATTATATACACTGGCTAAGACAGAGAAGAAACTCCAGAATATATTATTCAAACCACTAAGAAACCAATGTGTAAACAATGCATTCAATCCTTGTTCTGGTGATCAACACTGAATGCATAAATTTCAAAACAAAACTTTAAAAATTACAATTTATTCCTATTATAATATTTAATGTTGAGAAAATTATTTGGGGGAATATATTTTTGATTTAATCAAAAGACAGAAGAAAGATGATGTATGACAATACTTATGGCAAAAAAAGAAAAGGAAACCCAGATTATAATTAATCTCTTGAATCTAAAAAGCAGCTTCTTATAACCTTGATCTTTTTAAATTTCCAAATAATCTCCCTAAATGACATCTAGAAGATTTCAGTGTATCAGAAAAAACTATAATACTCTTAGGACCCTTTTCAACATTGCTATTGTTACTTTTTAATGAAGAATGTATTTAACCCAGTTATATAATAATACTAAAGTTGGTAAGGTAGCTATGGGCTATCTATTTGATTAACTATGATGCAACATTAAAAACTATGTTTATTTGGTGATAAAGCAAGATAAAGATAACTATAATATAATACAGGTCCTTTAAGTGAAAAAGGATACAAAATTGCAGAGTTCATAGTTTTAAGCATTTTTTTTAAACTATGCATAAAAAAGCTGAAGGAAATATCTTTTTAAATCGTCCAATTTGTCTTTTGATCTATTTTTTAATAGATCAAATTTTTCTGCATTTCCAAGTTTTCTTTAACAGCAAAATTTAATTTTATAAAAAATAACACATTCAATATATTAAGATGGGTTCGAATATTTATATTAAAAATGACAGCTGCTTATTTCTTTAAAAATTCTGCTTATTAAGAGTGCCTTAAGAATTAAAAATTCCATCATATCCGATTCAAATTTGACTATTGTGTTGAACTCTAGGGTTTGCCCAACACTGAACTACAGACTACATTTTCCAGAGGTCAACCGTGTTGTCCTCCATCTAACCATACAAAAAAACTGGTTCTTACCAGAGAATACAAGTGATCTGGTCCTGCTTCCCAAATGGCTTTCCAAATGTGCACTATGAGAATTACCACGAAAATTAATTCTAGAAAGTTCAATAGCTTTCCTACTATTGCTTTTAAGCTGGATTTTTTTATAGCATCATGATCAAACTAATATTCCCAGAATTTTAAAAGAAGAATTAAGTCATATTCACTGAAATGAAAGTTATCATCTGGAGAATGATGGGATGGAAAGTAGGCCACTAGCTCAATGGTTAACATTTTTCATGAACACAGAAAATAATGAATAACACGGATAGATTTAAATAAATATATACACAATTTGAACACTTCTGTCCATCAGACCACCATTTAGCTAAATTTTTTCTATATTAAGATATAATTATGATGTAATCCAAGTCATTAAGCATTAAATAAAATTACATTAAGCATTGTAATAAAATTACAATCATATTGTTTCTCAAAAGATAGAGATATTTACACATTGGATGAAAGCATTCCAAGGGCAATTATTTCTTCTTCAAGTTTTGAGCAATTAGTTCTCTGATAGAGCTTCATCCTTCAGAAAGTATTTTACGTGCTGGCTTCGGCAGCACATATACTAAAATTGGAACAATACAGAGAAGATTAGCATGGCCCCTGCGCCATGAATGGATGGAATTTGCATGGGTGACATGCAAATTCGTGAAGCGTTCCATATTTTTCTTAGAATATGGGAAGTAGGTGGGAGAGGGGAGGTGAGGGGAATGGATGGGGGGAGTAGGGGGATTGGTGGGGTCACCTATATGGTTTATCTTACAAGGGTACAAGTGAATCTTTCTAAAAGCAGAGTATGAATGTCTTAACTTCCTGACTAAGAGAATGACATGAAGGTTATGTTAACCAGTTCGATGAGAGTATTTCAAAATATATATGAAAACAGCACACTGTACCCCATGATTGCATTAATGTACATAGTTATGCTTTAAGAAATTTTTAAAAAGGAAAAAAAAAAGAAAAGTATTTTACTTATACCTAGAGTAAACAAAACTTCTTAGTACTTGCATAATTTAAATGGAAGGAAAACTTTCCCATTCAATTTTCCATCAAAAGTTCTAAGCATGCTTAAAAGTATGCCTCAATTCATTCATTTTGACTTATAACCAAATATGGTGTAGTTGTTGGTTTGGGGTGTGGGCAATGGCAGATGAGCCTGACTGTATTTGCCCATCCGTCATTCAACTTCTCCAGGGTCCAAGTGTGGAAAGAACTTGGCACACAGACATTAATCAGCTTGGCTGAGCTTTGTCCACAAAGCATAGAAGATTTAAAACCAGAGCTCATCAAAAATAAATGAAGATACTAGGATTGAAAGGACAAAGGCACCAAGAAAGGAACAAAGTTGGTGCAGCACCAAGATCATTCCAGAGAAGAAAGAAGCAACCAGAATCCCCCTCTGCCACCCAGGCTGTACGCCCCCACTGCTCTCCACTTGGTCCCTGTAAACTTAAAGCCCCGATAGAGCTCCTGCTCTCCTCTCCACTGCTCAGCACATGAGCATGGGAACCCAGCAGACCCACCTCTAGCCCCAACTCTGTACTAAGCTGGGTAAACTTGACTCGTTAGCTCTTAAGCCTGGCCTCATTTCCAGCATACAAAATGCTGATGAGGTATATTAGCTGATCTTCAAGATGCTATCCATTTTCAAAAATTCTGTTTTTCAATTTCCAGGCCTGGCAGGAGATGCACACTTTCCCCAGAGACCTAGTGGATATACCCATGAGAAATCTAAATTTTCCCTGTAGAAGTTAGGGGAAGGTATCCAACTGCAGTCTGAAAATATCCTAAGTGACCTTGTAGCAACTATCTGTGGCCAATTCAAGAAAAAGGGGGGGGGGCTTATTAATAATACAAAACCTAATAAATTTTATCATCTTATTTCAGCAAAAACTAAACCTAGCCAATTTGTGTCAAGAGGCTCCATCCGCCAACTACTTCATGGCAACTAAACATCCTGCAGTGTCCTGTCTCCCACAATGTCCTTCCCCTCAGGAACTGAGGCAGCGAAGGCTGGAAACTCACTAGCATCGACAGAATTCTGTCACGGAATTAAATCCAAATGCAAAAGCTCTATCCAAGTCACCCCTAAAAGATCTCACTCCCTTACCACCCAACAGAGATAAAACAAGGCCTGCATTTTAGGCCTGTGCCTCCAAAGGCCTTGGCGCCCACATTTCTTTACTAAGTGCCCCAGTTGCCCATAGGCACAATAATCACCATCAAAATTCATCCAGACGACCAGTGCAGAGGGTACCAATGGTGGCACTCACATCATCTGGTGGATGGAGCTTCTGTCCTTCAAGAGGCCAGGCCAAAAGCTCTATGTGCACGGAAAAGCAGAAAAAGGGAGGCCGGGAACGGTGGCTCACGCCTGTAATCCTAGCACTCTGGGAGGCAGAGGCGGGTGGGTCACCTGAGCTCAAGGGTTTGACACCAGCCTGAGCAAGAGCGAAACTCCATCTCTACTAAAAATAGAGAAATCTAGCTGGGCGTTGTGGCAGGCCCCTGTAGTTGACAGCTTCTGGGGAGGCTGAGGCAAGAGGATCTCTTCAGCCCAAGTTGGAGGTTGCTGTGAGCTATGATGCCATAGCACTCTACCCAGAGCAACAGCAAGACTCTATCTCAAAAGAAAAAAGAAACAAAGAGAAAAGGAAAACATAAAAAGGGAAGAAAATCAAGAAAGTACTAAAGCAGCAGGGAAGGGGGGTTGTATGAGGAGCAGACAGGGCCAGGGAAGCACAGATCTGGAAGTTCTGGGTGTGCTTCCTGCCAAGTGAAGTACAAAGTGGCATCTGGGGGTCCTGAATGTTCAGGTTGCAAGGCTCTCAATATTTTAGATAGATACCATTTCCAAATGTCACTACATAGTCTGCTTAGAAAGCATAAGATAAATTATGGCCACCTTCTGGAAAATGATGTGCACATCCTGCTATGGAAGAGAGCCGCCAGGTCCCTCACTGGCATGACAAGGTTTGCGGCTGCATTACAATCTGCAGCACAGGGGACTGCGGCAGGACATCTTCCCCCACCAGCCAGCTGACAGTCCACACCTCCAGCCAGTCAGCCACTGGCAGGCGTTTCCACTGATGTGGACGGGACATCTTCCCCCGCCAGCCGGCTGACAGTCCACACCTCCAGCCAGTCAGCCGCTGGCAGGTGTCTCCATAGATGTGGACGGGACATCTTCCCCCGCCAGCCGGCTGACAGTCCACACCTCCAGCCAGTCAGCCACTGGCAGGCGTCTCCATAGATGTGGACGGGACATCTTCCCCCGCCAGCCGGCTGACAGTCCACACCTCCAGCCAGTCAGCCGCTGGCAGGCATCTCCATCAATGTGGACGGGACATCTTCCCCTGCCAGCCGGCTGACAGTCCACACCTCCAGCCAGTCAGCCGCTGGCAGGTGTCTCCACCGATGTGAACGGGACATCCCCCGCCAGCCGGCTGACAGTCCACACCTCCAGCCAGTCAGCCGCTGGCAGGCATCTCTACTGATGACCATAATGACCATGAAGACTTGGCTCCTGAGGTGACTGCCCAGTCTCGGGCACCACCCAAAGTTTCGCTCACTGCATGCCTTTCCCCCTCAGCTGCAGCAATCGTGGTTGTCAAGTACTATTTTAAATACTTGACAATTTGTTAGGATGCTAAAAACGATACAGAGAAACTTCCTACAGGTAAGCATTTGAAAATCTGTGCTCCTGACAAATTATAAACATTCTTCTTCCCTCTGGGACCCAGAATCACAAGGAAAGTTATGTAGTAGATGAGGCGAGTTGATTGGTGCTCAATCTCTCATTTATATCGAATATTATAAAGACATTTCTCTATGTGGAAAAAAAGTCACTTAGCAACAATTAATATATTTGATCTTATCTTTTCCCTTGGAAGCATAACTTTGAAATTCCAGTTAAAATGACTAGGGGAGAAACACGATTCAATTTACTAAGCATTCATTTTACAGCTAACTTTTTCGTCCAAATGGAAAATTAAATTTATTTTAATTTCATTTTACTTAATGTTAGTGACTAATGGTGATTTCAGGAACTTGCTTATAAAAATTGTACCTTCAAATACACAGAGCAAAAATTTATTACCTCTGAGTAATAAGGTATTTAAAATGACCACTTAAAAGTACTCAAACAACCTTCTTTTACAACTGTTCTCTAAAAGCAAATTAATGACCAATCTATTAGTAATGGTTATATAGCTAAAAACAAGCCATGAGCCTGCTATATCCTACAGTGTGATATACAACATAGTAGAACTTAAAGAAAATCAATTATTTCATTAAGTATTTCTGCACACGTGCTGTCTGTTCCAGGACTGTGAATGTCCTCTGATTAAAATCGAATGGACGTTTTCAGATAGGACAATAGGCAGCTATTTCTCCGTATCTCTGTTTGATGCCTGTGTGTGTTATCAGATATAATTTTCCACTTTTACAATAGTCTTTCACCCCCTTATCTCACCTTTGTCATCCCTCTAACTGACTGTTCTACCCAGCAAAGCATTTCTAAGCTCTAATGCACTACAAATGAATTACTCAAGTGAAGGAGTTTTCTACCGGCATTCCATTTAAAAACTACTTACCTGTGCCATCGTCCACATTCTCCACTTCCATCACCTCTGTGTTGATCCGGCCACGAAAAAGGTACCGATGTCCGTCTGTAGATGCCTTGCTGTTCTTCAGCCGTCTTACAACAGAATGAAATCACAAAGGCTTTGTGACTGAACTTAATGCAAACCAATATATTTTAAGCAGTTCTTTGAAACTTATAAGTTCTGTATAAGTTCTTTGAAACATAATTCAATCAACCATACCCAATGTTAGGCTCTCACTGTTGTATGCTTGTGTCCTCCCACTCATAACAGCACTGGTGGCTTTACGGGATGCGACTTATGGAAAAATTTTTTTACTAAGTGGAAGTTTCGGGCTAAGGATTGCCTACAGGTGGGAGAGTGAGTATGAAGAAGAAATGAGTAATGAGGATGAAAGAAAGAAAGAAAAGTTTCAGTTAACCAACCTTCAGGGTCTGTTAGAGTCTGCCACAGCTGATGTCCTATATTGATCAAAGCCAATAGGATATCAGCTGTGGCAGACTAACAGACCCTCAAGGTTGGTTAACTGGAAATTCTCATTCTTTCTTTCATTTCCATTACTCATTTTTCAGTAACCAGCTGGTAATTCCCATTTTATTCAAGCCCCAGTAAAGATTCAGTTAATACTTATGATCCCTCTTCAAACAACTGGCTGTGCTGGAGGCTCTCCAGCTGAGCAACGTCCAGCTGTCAAAATATTGTTCCTGTATTATTGTTTCTATGCTATGATCGCTGTGTACCTGAGGAACAAGTATCTTAAGACATTTATAATCCTTCATAAGTCTTACTTATTTTTAAAATAGTCCCAAAAAATCTCAAAACTGTGTGTAGAGTAAGTCGAATGTCACCTTTAATCTTAATAAGTATGAAGCGCACAGTAAAAACATCCAGGTTTACAGAGGACCATTTGTCACGATGAATTCGGTAGCTGCCTGTGTTTGTATTTGAATCACTAAGTACTCAGGGAAGATGTTTTTAAAATGTTTTTCTTTAATTAAACAGCAAAGATTCTAAGAAATGATTCAAAATCAAGAAATATCTAGTGACTCAAGAGATCTCAACTACCCTGAATTATTTAAAATGACTTGCAGACAAAAGTCTGGCTACCAGTTTAATACTGAAATAATTGTTAATTTGTCATATTATATAGCCACGACTAGCACACGTGAAGATCTGACTGCGCAGACTGCAATTCTCCCTCCTCCTTGCCCTTGCAGTTAGATCCCTGCCCTGGCATGGATGGGATGGGGCAGGGAGGTGTCCCCAGATGTTACTGCACTCCCTGGGTGCCGTCCTTAGAAAAGACTGCATATTCCTGGCTTAACTCTCCTAAACCCTCATCAAAATGTAGTAGTCCTTCATCACTACTACAGGAAACTAACTAAATTGATTAATGTATTCTGACGGGAAGCTTTGTCAGCCCTGAATCTTCACCACCCTATACTTCCATGAGCATTTTGAAATTAACCTCTAAATATTCTTTGTTAATGAGAAGAAATCAGTGCTATACATTAGAAATTCAGCCCAGGTAGCTGTGAGAGTTAGCATCATAGGACGTCAAATTTAAAGATGAAGAGCAGACTAATATAAAAGTACCCACAAATTCTCTCGGCTAGAAAACAGTACCCTGGTGTCTTGAAAAAGAGAATTTTTTGTAGGTTGGTGCATCATATTTAAAATCAATCAGGATTTAAAAGACTTATCCTTAGCAACAGTTTTAGTCACAGGCAAAATAATCATATATATATATATATATTAGAACCTCCATAGTTGACCACCTCCCTGCACTGACCACCTCCTCAAGTTGAATTAATTTTCATAGACTGAACATGCACCACATGTACATATCAGTACAATAAGCCTAGTTCCTTATATTGACCACCTCTGTATGCTGGCCAGTTTGCACAGCCCCTTGGGTGCTCAATTATAGAGGTTCTACTATGCAGAGGGGGCCAAAAAAATGTACAGACATTTTAAGAAAGGAAAAAACCTCTCTGTTTTTATGCCAGTACCATGCTGTTTTGACCACTATCCATTTATAGTATAGTCTGACATCTGGTAGTGTGATTCCTCCTGCTGTGTTTTTATTTCTGAATAATGTTTTGGTTATTTGAAGTTTTTTTCTGATTCCATATAAAACAAAGTATTATTTTTTCAAGATCTTTAATTAGATAGTGGAGCTTTAATAGGGATTGCATTAAAATTGCATGTTTTGGGGGTGGACATTTTAACAATGTTGGACATTTTAACAACGTTGATTCTTCCCAGCCATGAGCATGGTATGTTTTTCCATTTTTAACAACTTCAGCTATTTCTTTTCTTAGAGTTTCATAGCTCTCTTTATAGAGATCTTTTACATCCTTTGTTAGGTAAACGCCCAAATATTTCACCTTTTATGGCACTACTATGAATGGAATAGAGTCCTTGACTGTTTTTTCAGCTTGACTATTGTTGGTATATATAAAGGCTACCAATTTATCAGTATTGATTTTGTAACCTGAGACTTCTAAGAGTTTTGTACTAGAATCTCTGGTGTTTTCCAGATATACAATCTGCATTAAAACTGTATTATTCCAGTACATTTGACTTATGTAATCACAAAAGATACAAGATGCAACATACAAGATAATATGGCTAGGTGTTGTGGCGGGCACCTGTATTCCCAGCTACTTGGGAGGATGAGGCAAGAGAATTGCTTAAGCCAAAGAGTTTGATGTTGCTGTGAACTATGATGCCACCACACTGTACCAAGAGTGATATAGTGAGACTCTGTCTCAAAAAATATATATATAATGTAAATATATTATGCAAGACAATAAATGTTATCAGTATATATTGAGTATTACAATTTTAATACAGTCATTTCCTTTCTTAAAATATATATTTTTTGGTACCTTCTATGTGTCTGTGTGTATGTGTATAAATCCATCATTTGAGTTTATTTTCAAAGTGCCAATATCTTGTGATCCTGCTTTTAACGCTATGAAGAGTATATTTCTCTTAGGCAACAGATATTAATACTCATTGTGAAATTCCAGTGTCTAAATTCCATAACAGTTAGCTCAAGAGAGGTTTTTGATCCCTCCAGAAAATGGCTCTACTGACATTTTAAAAAGATAGAAAAGCCAATGATTTGGAAATAACTCTGCTCTATATTATTTTATAGTTGCATATCTTGATTCTATGATTTCATTCCTAAATAGGTGTTTTATTGGTCACCGGGATATGTGTACCAAGAACGTTTATAACAGCTAAAGCTGTGGAGCAGGAAGCGAGGCCACAAGGGGTCAGGGAGGAGACAACTACTGTCACCCAAGGGGCGATGCTGGTAAAGTAGGGTGGTGATGGAGATGCAGATATGTAGAGAGATTTCTGTATGTTTTAAAAGCAGATTCAAGAAGATTTTCTAATATATTAAATGTAGGGAGTTGAAGGAAACAGAAGAACCAAAGCTAACTCATAATTTTCACCACGGAGGAAGTAAATAGATGGAGAAAGTTGGGAAGGGGAGGAGCAGCTTCGGAAAAGGACATCAGGAATCCCACTTCTGCCGCATTATGGGGGAGAACCCTTAAAGCCACCACAACTGCGATGTCCAGTAGGCTGCATACAGGCTGGATTAATATTTACAATTCTGGGCTAAGACCAGAGATTTGAGAGAAACTCATATAGACGTGGGCTGTGAAGCCACAGACTGGATAAAATCACCCAGAAAGGGACTGTAAGTACAAAGAGGAGCAAGGAGTCGGAAGCAGAGCCCACAGCAGCCCAACACTCAGCCAAGAGACTGAGGCTGCGAGAGTAAAGAGAGAGTTTTGAGAAGAAGAATTGCTCAACTAAGTTAATGCTTCTAAGAAAACAGGTAAAACCTTAAAGAGCAAAAAAGCAACCATTGGCTCAGCGCCTATAGCTCAACTGGCTAAGGCGCCAGCCACGTACACCTAAGGTGGTGGGTTCGAATCCCCAGCCCGGACCCGCCAAACAAC